TGGTATAACACCTGTGTTAAAAATGTGTCTGAATCAACAGCATTATGTTTACCAGCATGGTGAACTTTCAGTAACAGTACAATGGTGGGATTGTAAATTTAACTTATTAGGTCCTTTTCCCAAACGGTTTTGCTGTTTTCTTCAACATAATGTGCAAACTTTAATTTCGTCTTGAAAAAAAAGACTGCACGTTTTCAGTATGATTTTTTTCAATTCTAATTTAACTGTTCTAGAACTTGACAACTTACTTACTTACGCCTGTTAACCCTCGTGGAGGAGCACAAGCCGTCCACCAGCACTCTCCACCCAACTCTATCTGTAGCTCTTCTAGAGTTAATACTGGTCCTAAGCCCCGATAAAGAAGGAGGGTTGGGCATGGGATCGGCAGTCCCACCCCGTAGAAAAAAGCCCTGCTAGAAACACACCAACCAGATTAAACAATGGATAACTGATCGATTGTTATTGCAATAATTAAGTTACAACCTAATTTTACTGCTACATATATCATACTCATTTTAAAACTACTAGTGTAATGAGCGGGAACACAGGCGGGGACAACCAAATATGATTGAGTACAAACTTACAGAACTCCTTAGTAAAATTTGAAAGCCACACAAAATATCCACCAAACGTCTCAGACTTCATTGTTCCTTCATTTCCTTACTAATCACTTTCTGTCTTCGTTCTCCTCTCTTAGATCTTCTCAATATTCTGTCGCCAGACATTTCATTGTCGATTGGGGATACATACTACTTGTATATGGACATCAGCAGCATACACCACACTAGGCATACCAAACGTAGCAATTTATTGTGGGTCTCACTTTTAAGCTTTAGTTTTTTACAACTGAACAATGATAAATTCAGAGTTGTATTTATAAGCTATAACTATTTTAGAATAATTATATACGTGTTTATATGTCACTCACTATACTGTTATTGATTAGCACATGGTACTACAAATGTAAACGATATTTCAGTAGCAAATTAGAGTCATCATTATTTAATTAACAAGTTTTGTTTCAACTACTTTTATGCTTACATGTTAATTGTTTATAATTTAAAGCCATGTATAGACTTTTATTATTTTGTATTTACTGTACAGAATAGGACAGAGATATTTACAAATATCAGTAATGATGATGATAATAATAATAATAATAATAATAATAATAATAATAATAGTGATATTCAAAATAACAATACAAAGATTAGTAAATATACCCAATGACTGACTCAGCATTTTGTGTTAACATTTTCTAGTGTATATTACAGTTTTACCTACTGATATTTAAAAAACAGGCATAAATAAATATCAACAGACAAGTATATCCATGTTTATAATAACTTCTTTAATAACCTAATAAAACTTATTCACTATAATATTTGTTCATTATAACTATCGTCTATATTATGTAGTAGGAGTACATATGACCTATGAAAGTTATATATGAAATTCAAAGATTGACACATAAATTTTACCATAAATACATAATAAAACACATTCATCCTAAAGTTAGTCAAATGCAATGTATATTCTGATATTTAAGTAGTTCATCTATTTCTTATTGAGAATGAATAGTCATTATTGATAAAGAAATTCATCTTGAAACCGAAGTTATTAATGAATTTAGTTTAGGGGTTGTAGAGATTGTTAAGTTTTTGATTGAGATCATGCACCGATTGATGTTAGACCATCATTGAAGCACTGGACGGTCGTTTCGTCCTATTATGGGACTCCTCAGCAATGCGCATCTACGAAATTGCGCGACAATCTTCCATTGTACTGAGGTAGACACCTGTTTCTACCCGATACGGATTAGCTCCACTGGTCACGGCTTCTCACCAGAACTCCAAGCGAGATCGTAGATGCGCATCCGCTGAGGAATCCCACAATAGGACGAGACGGCCGTCCAGTGCTTCCAGGTTTTCCATGGTGGTCTAACATCAATCGGTTTATGATCTCAATAAAAAAAGAATTTAGTCTTAAGTAAAGATTACGAGTAAGTAAGAAGTGAACGAAAGAAGTTCACTGAATTATTTAAGAGAAGTAAAGACAATTCAGCAAAAGAAAATATTCTTTTCTATGGTTTCATTCACTTAGACTGTATAACCCTATATATAACTGATTCATTTATTAAAATTAGTATTCTATACTAATAATAGAAAGATATTGTTTAAACTTAAGAGATTGATAGATTATCATGTTATAGAATTTTTATGGATATCAAATATTGTAATAACGTTACATAATAGTCAAATGGTTTATCAAAAGTGTCAAGATGAAGATAGTTTATATATTAGTATTAATTGATCATTTGACAAATATTATGAATTTTGCATTGCTTTACTTACAATAGGATAAAAATAAGATAACTAAATATTGTCAGTCAGTTACAATGTATATATGTGCCTGATCCTATGTTCCAGCTGGCTGACAATATTTAGTTATCCTATTGTAATAAGCAAAGAATAAGAAAAGCAATGGAAAATTCATTAAAATGAATCTATTTTTCAATTATTTTATTTTATTTTTTTTAATTGTAAGGACTGAAAATTTCTATAGTTATAATTTACATGTTTTCCTTTATCGTACTTCATATAGATCTGTCCAATAAAGAAATGATCTTGTGAAATTTCCATAGATTTAGTGAACAACATTGACATTCGATATTAATAATTGACATTTAATAGTCTAATAAGTTCTTTGTGAGAATCTTATACACACATATATATTCTTTGAATGATACATTGAATATACATGCAGATATTACATTATAATTAATAACAAAGTAAAGTTTTGAGTAATTCAGCTAAATTAGAGTATATTATCAGCCTAAATAATAAGTGTAACAATAAATGTGTTGTAATCCTACTTTGATATTTCAATCAACTTTATTTTTCTATATTAGGTTAATAACTTCTATGAATGATTTCAAAATGAGAACATCCAAGAAAATGTGATACCTAAACATTGATGAAGATCATTTAAGGGATTTTAAAATTATACTAGGTAATTGCTAGCTAATATCCATCATTGCTTAGAAAAAGCTCGTGGATTAAGGCAATATCGAGGCATACGCACATTATGCACATATACCAATAACGAACTAATCAATTACAGTCTTAAACCTTAATGGGAAGATACAAGCCAAACAATTCCTTAATTTTGTCTCTTGTTTTATCGACTCTTTAATAGTAATGATGGAAGAACGAAATATTTATATTAGTGTTCACAATATGTGGTACTGTAGCGATAAAGTCACTCTTTGAAAATATCAATAAAGATGTCGATACCACACGTTTCAGAGGAGAGTTGCAGCAATTTACAAGTATGAGAGGAAAAATTTAAAATTTAATTAAAGCTTATGAACATTCTGAGAATTACTTTTAAGCTAATCGGTCCTAGATGATGGGATAACACAAGTTAATATCTAAAACTTTATTCAGTGTACGGTGACCCACTATAAGATCACTTATTAGCCTAGAATGAGTTGGTGGAAATAAGTTGAGCCATCTCAATATATCTTCAAAAGATAGTTCAAAAAGCCACTCAAGATACCTAATTTCATCACTCTTATATAACTTTTTAATTATTATTTCCCAACATAAAAATACACACCGATCTTGACTATAGTTATTCATACACTCCGTATCCCTATTCTTCTAACTGTTATGATTCTAGTTACGCTTCAAACATTTATAACTTCATCTGTGGCATTTATAGGGATACTGACGGTCTCAAGGCGAGGTAAAGGAGGAGGGTTGGGTATGAGGTCAGAAACCCCATTCCATACAAAACAATATTTCTATTAAACACTAACTAGAATAAACAATCTAAATTCTGTCCTGCGAGTAGAAGGACATTCATTCAGAAGAATTATGGCACCTCACTCTGAAGACCGAGATTCTTCGGAGTCATGAGGCTGATGCCACTTCTAACAACCAGAGTAACAATTAATATCGGTACATCGGATGTTCGGACAATGTGAGACAAGGAGGATCAATCAAATAGCTACGGAAACGAGGAGATACAACTTGATGGTGCTCATAATAAGTGAAACACATTTGACCGAAACTGAACAGAAAAGGATAGATCTGGGAGAGATGTTGTTGAACTCTGGTCATGAAGAAAATAATGCTCCACACACACAAGCAGGCAGTTGCTCTGACGCTGTCCAAAAAAGCACGAAAAGCACTTATAGAGTAGGAATCTCATGGATTCACGATCATCAACACATCCTTCAAAACAATGAATATTATCCGTTGGATGCCGATTCAGTGTTCTAGAAATTAAGAGTAAGTGTGAAACCAAAGGTCCTGGGTTCCAGTCACACGTATAGGATCTAGGATGTGTGCCTCCACTAGGACGAACTGGCCATCTAGTTCTTCCAGGTTTTAAGTGATGATCTATCATTGATCATTTCATTATCTCAATTACAATCCTTTTTACCCATATACATCAAAATGATTGAAGAAATAATCATTTTTGTTGAGAATTCTACAATTTTTGCACTCCTACATGGCATAAATTTATTTTTTACCATGAATAAAATATAAGAGGAATATATATATAAATATATATATATATATATATATATATATATATATATACCTAATGAAAAAAACATACCGAATATTGTTAATTTCAAACTGGGGTCAAACTTTAGGGTCACGAATAACATTTTTACCAGACATTTATACCAAACAAAACTAACACTTAAAAGATTAATTACAATGAATTTGTAATGATTTAGGTCATGTCAATGTAAAATAATTTGTCATTAGTTCATTATTTCCTGTAATTTAGTTTTCACACACAGATTTTGTTTTTGTTTTTTTAAATTTGTGGGTTAGCAAAATTTCCCTTAAAAATAAAAAAAATTATCATCAAAATCATATCATTGGCAGAAAATGAAATTCACACTTGTATAGTAACACACCTTTTTTTTATAGTATGGCAGACACATACTTTAGTTAATATTCATCATGTTACTAATCATATCCATAAAGATATTGAATAAAGTATGATGAACTCGTTTTACAGGTGGTAACCAAAATAAATTTACCAACTTTTTTGAATGAAGAAACTTTTGAAATGTTTACATGGTTTTATAAAATATCAATAACGTGTTAGCAATTACCATGGTTACCCAATGGCTAAATAAACGATTAAAACAAAAATAAATAAATAAATCTTTTCAAAATTATTAAAATTCGAATGTTCAATAATGAAATTGTTATTTTATTTGTTGATCATTATTCAATGTATTTATGCATTACGTAATAATCAACATAAAGAACAATTTACCAAGAATATTAATTATCTATTACAATCTAATAATAAAAAGATATTAAAAAACCAAAATAATCCTTATCAAAAAATTAATTATAATTCTGAAAGATTAAAAAGAAATTTCTTAATTGATATTCATTCACATAATACATTGTGTCAATCTGGTTCACAATCATTTCAATGTACTCCACCATTTAAAGATATATCACGTGGAGTATCTGTTTATGCAACTTCTACATGTGGAGAACAACAACCACAACATTTATGTCGATCGAATAAAAATTGTCAATTATGTAGTATTAATTCTACTGAATGGAAATTTTCATCAGAATATTTAACTGATCGTCATGATATTGAAAATCAAACATGTTGGGCATCAGGATATATTCGACCAGGTGAAGTTGTTAATCTTACTATATCTTTGGGAAAACGTTTTGAAGTATACTATATATCTTTACAACCATGTAGTCTAGGTAGTATACCAGATTCAATAGCAATCTATAAATCATCTGATTTTGGTCGTACATGGCGTCCTTGGCATTATTTTTCAACTGATTGTTATCGAGCTTTTGGATTGCCTACCTCAAATGAACATAATAGTCATATAACATCTGCTAATTTACAAGAGGTATTATGTGTTGCTTTACAACCACGTGAAAGTTATTACAATTATCAAGGTAGAAGAATTCGTTCAATGAACAGTTATATTTTCAATAAACCAAATATTACTAGAAATTTCGGAGGTATAGGTGTACCTTCAGATTGGGTTATTGCATTTAGCACAACACTTGGTCGACCAGCAACACGTCCATGGAGTCCAGCATTGATTGATTGGATGACTATGACTGATGTTCGTATAAGCTTAATGAGTTTTCATCAGTCTAACGAACCAGAATATCGTATTAAAAGAAATGCATATCGAAGTCATCTATCTGATCACTCTAAATTAACACAGAATTCACAAACTATAAACAAACTACCCTTATTTCAATCAAATTACTTTTATGATAATTTTAATAATTATCAATTAAAACGAACACGAAATTCAAGAGATGGTCAAACCATTACGGAATTACCTCATAAAGAAATCAATCATACTAATAAGATAGATAGCCAAACTGATTTGAACATGGATGCTAGAAAATCTGTAAATGTAACTATAAACCCTGAGATTTTAACTGAAATGGACTTTTATGCATTTGCTGATATAGCCATTGGTGGACGTTGTAAATGTAATGGACATGCAAGTGAATGCATATTGGGATCAAATGGTAAGCTAATTTGTGCATGTGAACATCATACATCTGGTGAAGATTGTGAATATTGTAAACCTGGTTATATGGATAGACCATGGGACAGAGCTACAACTCAAGATGCAAATGTCTGTAAAAGTGAGTAAAACGTTTTTAATAATTATTTTATGAAATATAATTGTACTTTCGTTAGGCAATTACATTATTATTAAAACCTCTTGTCGATGCACTATAAACGAGTAGAATCTTAATGTGCCCAAAGATGATGATCACCATGGATAGGAATTTGTCAATGTTGAGCTTCTTTCCGTTTTTGTTTTTCTAAATTCCGAACAATTTTTAACTTGATGAACCTTTTTACGTTTTGGTTTTTCAACATTTGATGTTGGATTTTGCTTTCAGCCTTCATGTTAAGTCAGTAGAAAAAAACCCTCAAATGTTAGTAAGAATATACAATGTATTTTTTTTAACCTGAGTAGCCATTGTCTGAAATGATTTTTGTTTAGAAGTGAGTGTCATTAGTTATATATGAGCTTTGCATCTATTTTAATCATCTCCGTAGTTTGTATGTTATTCGTCGATGTAAACTTTTCATTTAAGTTTGAGTCTACTATTCTAAATAAATAGCTTACTATTCCAGTATTGTATACACAAGTTATTAAAGTGCTATAGCAGTATATATTTTATTAACGTACAAGGGTTAGAACTAAAGCAATTTTGTTGCTAATCTGAAGTTATTTTCATCTATGTTAGTAACTAGTTGCTTTTAAATGAATAATTTATCTGTAACGCATACTGATTTCTAATAATGACTGATGAATTTTCATGATAAATCCCCTAAAATTTTCAAAATAGATATCGTTCAGTAAAATGAAAGTTGGTGACTTTTCAATGAACACAGAGTTATAAACTAATAACCAAAGCTGTTAGTTATAATGAGTTAGTTTTCAAAAAGGAAATATCATTTATGTGTAATTTTTGCTAATATTGTATTCTTCACAGTAGAACGACTGGACTTAGAAAAAGTATCTTACGTGTTTAAAATTCTATTTACTAATGGTTGTAACTGATGCTGGTCATTTCGAAACCATTTTTTATATGACATATGAGTAATATGAACCGGTATCTGGACTGTATGATAATTCACTAGGTGTGTATTTAACATTTACATATATGGATATATTTGTCTATATTAATAACTCAAAAGTTGCGGATAAACTTGAATAATACTAATCATGAAGAGATCAAATTTCGTTTACTATTGAATTTAATTTATGGAAATAAGTATCACAGACATATGTAGTTTGCAAATGTCTGTGACTATTAAATAACGACTACTGAATATCAAAGTAGCCAGAGAAAAACGTACGAAATAGAACATTGTAATTCTAGTCAAATATTAAACGGATGATTACAGTAAGAGTACCTATGCAGAATCGATAAATATCCAGATAAGTAGCGTATTGGCAAGGGAAGTGAACACCATTAAAATAAATATATCATGGGAAGTAGTGTGTTATTTACATTATGTGCATTGATTTGGAGCTATTCCTGACCAGATCGTCAGTCATCAATATTTAGTGACCCGATAACCCATACCAAGAAGTTTCCATTTAACTTAGCTACTGCATGTTGCTTTTTCTGAGAAGTATGGTTTAGACACATCCAATAACTAGCAAAATTACAAACAATTTTACTGAGTTCTGTGAATGATGATAGGAATGTCATACCAAGAAAATGAGTACGGAAAATTCCTTTTACTGAGAATTCATGTAAGTAACAAAAATCATAATATTTTTTCAGCTACTCGACATAATTCATTTTTAAAATATGGTTCCCGATTCTCATTTGAAACATCTTTAAAATGATATCTCTGAGTCAGTGGGATGGCTTTAGGCATTAAATACTAACGAAAAATTATTCTGAATGAACTACATACTTTCATTTTATTATCAAGATATTGATACAATGTTTTAGTATTCGTTAATTCCAATATATTGGAAGTGGGAATTTTATTATCGGAGTTAGTAGTCTTCTCCAAAGTAATTTAATACATGAAAGATGAGTACCGTACCTTTCTGATAGACTTTACATGTTACTAGCAATGAATTATTAAAACTGTTTTTAATGGGATCAGAAGTCGACCTAAGTTAGACACCCAAGGAAATCCTGAAGGCATTGGACAGGCTTATTTTCCTGTCAAAGGACACCTCAGTATCGTGCATTAACGATCCCACCAATTACGATAAAACCTAGGACCTACGGTGATGGGCACTGACGTTCAACACCATTGGTCTGGGATACTATGATAAGCAAGTCTAGCTTCAACCAATACGCAATAACGCGCGACTGTCTCCCATTGTCTTTGCTAGGTATTTCATTCACACCGAACACTTTATTTGTATGTATCTTAATACACTTAACGCTTTCAGGTTTTCACCTTCTGTCTTCTGCTTTACATGGTGATACTAGTTGTGGCCATGTCTGTTGGTTCAGAGAGTTAAACAAGATCATAGGTTGGGAATCGAACCGCTACTTTGTCACTTCCAAAATACATATACGTCATGCAAATCAAAGTATAATATACCATTGCATACACTACATTCCCCTCCCCCCCCCAAAAAAATGTACTATTGAATCTAACTAAGGTTTTTTATAATCATCTCCATGACTAGACTCGAAAAATTTCCATTTTACTTCAGCTACAGAAAGTTATAATAATTTTTAATAATGTAAACTAAAAAACTAATTACCAAAGTACAATCAATATCTACAGCTGATAGACACATAAATATCAAGTAAGGTTAAATTAATCCTTGGTTTCGATTAAAAGATCTTGAAAAAATATCATTATCAGGTATATATGAATCAATATTTCTTATTCTTGTGTAACTAATTAACTTCATTTGTTTGTAGATTTCATAAGAGCATTCAACATAAACAATATTCTCTCTCTAGAGGTGTTATATACTTTTTAGCTTAACTAATCCAACACCATCAACATTTTAGTTTACTGTGAAGTATAAGTAATATTACAAGTGTCAACCGGACACATTCAGCTGGAGCTTAAATTAATCAGGGTATCATAGATAAAATACGTAATTAATAAATAGCAATACATAGTTGACAGTCATATGTGTAGTGATAATGTCAAATTATGGGAAATTGATTTTATGTCAGACATTGTTTTAATTAATCATTTTATTTATTTATTTTTATTTTTTTCTGAGATAATTTTTCTCAGAATCTTACGTCAACGAATTACAGAATGCGACATTTTCACTGTATAATCTAAGATAATCTAATTCATAATTATAGTTAAAATATATTGAAGCTTTTAAATTGACTGAATATTTCAATGATCTAAATGAGAGCATATTGAATTCATTGTTTGTTTTTTTCTTTAATATTTGATAGGTACAAATTGAACATTTGTAAAATTGTTATCTGTATTGTTGTTATAAGTAGTTTGTTATTTGATTCAGTAAAATGTTTTGTTCTAATCATAGAATTAGGTTTGAAGGAAATAGAATCTTTACTTTATTTAAGAAATGAATACTTGCAACAACTCATGATATGGTGTGTGCAACTGATATTAACAAATATGAGTAGTATGTCAGTCAGTTAGTCAGTTACAACATAGGACCAGGCACATATATACATCAGTCCAAGTTGCCATACCTCATTAGCAAAACGAGATGAACACGAAATCCAATGATAGCAATGTATAAAAGAAAGATTGTGTATAAGGATATAGTACAGAAAGAAATAACTAGTTCGTAGAAAGAAAGGCATAAAGTAATTTTTATCTCACGGTTTAAGGGAACACAAAGGGTGTATACACCTATACCATTGTGATCGATTGTGAGCCATGTCACACAGAGTCTCCAACCATTGGTTAAGATAGTCGCACGGACCTCAACCAATTATTCTGCATCTACCGATATGGCACACACTAGAAGTTAGTGTCTTCAAGGACTGACGTCACGTTTTGGTTTATTAGATTGCGTTGTATTGATTTGCTGTCAAACAATTACACATATACGCGAACTTTATCCGCGAACACTGTTATATATTTCATGCTTATGTTGTAGACAGCATTTGAATCCAGTTAAGAAGTTACTTCGTCTTATCAATACCTTTGCAGTTTCTATCAGAATACTGTCAAATTAAAAAATATATTCTCTATAAGTTCCCTTGAATATAAAACACAATTTGGATAGTGTTATTACGTCAGCTAAGATTTTATTAAAAATTTAAACATAACCACAAAAAGAAAGTGGAGATTTCTATATTAATTGAACGAAATTACAAATGAAATCGTTTAAATTCACTTGATGTTATTTTACCTTGTATCTTCCCATTGTCATTTAGGACTAATTGATCAGTCTCATGTTGGCATATGTGCATCCTGTGCGGATTGCCTCGATATAGCCTTAAGTCACAAGCTTTTTAAGCAAAGATAGATAGTGGCCAGCAGTGGAATCCAGGACGCGCGTGTCGTAATATTTGGGACTCGTCAGCTGGATGTACCTGCATCTCAGAGTTTATGTTTACTCCGAGACTCAAACCCAGTACCATTCGCTTCAAACGCCATTTAAATTGAAAACAAACGGTACATATTACTATCTCTATTACAGTGAAAAATAAGTTCTTGAAGAAATAAAAAAGTAGTATTAACTTCTGTAGTTTGAAAGGTAAATAATAGCTAAACAGCATCGACAAAATACATCGAAATTTCTGAATTTGTGTAGTGAACGCAAACACACAACTAAAATATTTAATACTGAAAATCAAAGTTTTTAATTCATTTAACTTAAAAATAAAAATTGTGACTAGACCACACGAAATCTAATTTGTACAAAACATCTTTCGTTATAAAATCAATCTATTAGTTATACAAAAACCAGTAAAAAGAGTCACCAACTTTTCGATATTTGAATTGAATACTACCTAACTAAATATCGGGTTACCTATGGAATGCTAACAGACAGTGTAATGTTAAAACGCCTATCTAAAATCCAAGTAACTAGTTTAACAAATGTTAACATTTCTAGTACTCCCTATATTCTAAGGATAACTTGCAGATGAATGAAAACAAGAAATATAACACAGAACTAACTGATTTATAGAGAAGA